CACAACTCAAAAACAGGCCAGCAGAAACATCACAGGGTTTTCTGCTCAAGAGAAGAGGACTTGTTAGAGTCGGCTGAGTGGATGATAGCTGTAACTGTTTGAGGTGGTGTGGAGTCTTGCATTGATGCATATTTTCTTTAACAGGCTGCAGGAAGCAGCAAGCTGATGACCAACAGCCGCACTAGCCAGAGCCCAGGAAAACTGGAGATCCAGCCAGCCACCTGAGAGGAAAGAGAGAGGGAAGGAGACACAGAGAGGAAGCAGAGGAAGGAAAGAAGGAGAACAAACCTGACCTGCCAGGACCCTCACAAGTTTCTGCCTGCTCTGAAAAGGTGGTGCAAAAATACCCCATCAGTGTTGTTTCAAACAGTCCAGCTTAAATTGTAAAACTTAAAACTAATCTTAGACTAAATCTAATCTTAGACTTATTAAACACAGTCAACTCTGTGTTATCAGTGAGGACACTGGACCTTAAAAGTAATTAAAAACTAGGACAAAATTCCTTAAGTACTGTTGGGGTTGAAAATTTGAGATCACATCACGTTCCAGCGCTGTAAATTGTAATTTCACCTGCTAAAGCGAATTAAATCTTTTTAAAAGACAGATATTTCTCTAGGAATTCCTTCTGAAAAATCTGAACATTACAATACATTCAAACTTATATATATGGATGATTTCAGAGATTTCTGCCTATGACAGCTTAGATAAGCTCTAAGTCCCCTGTGACTTTACGTTTGAGACCCAGAGTTAAGATTAATGTGAGTAATAGGTTCTTGTCACAAATATAGAGACATGCTGAAGCTTTAGGTTATCAAACTTAAACATTTTAATCATGGCAACAGTTTTTAAAGGTTCTTTGTTCAAATGACATTTAATACATGTCAGTCTGCTGATGAGCCTTGTGTCAGCACTGAGGTGGAAGCTGTGGGCTGTAAAGAGTGTCTGTCCCACTGGGCAGTTTCATTTCACATGTCTGACTTCCTCTTAAAAACAAAAGTGAACTTTCTTTATGTGCTTACAGCTGGAGAAAAAATGCTGAGTGTTTTTTTTTTCTTTGTTCAGTCAGCAGCAGATTTAAAGGACTTTGTGTTTGTTTGAGCTTTTTACAGGAGGATGAAGACGTTGCTGGTGATCCTGCTCCTCATAAATGGTAAGAAACTGAATGCAGATCAATCTGCACTCACACCACAGTTTAAGGCCGATAATCTCACTGTGTGGTGTTTATGTGATGATTTTAATTAATGCACTGTACAAAATACAAATGCAGTGATGTGTTCCCTGAGAGTCGAGAGAAGCTTCTGGCCAAGACTGTCCAAGATTCATGTTTCATGCTTTGTTATATTTGACTTTGACTGTACTTGAGATTAATTACATATTTTTGCCTTTAAGAAAATCTTTTCTTTAAAACTTGCAAACACATAAATACAACGCTGGGTTTAGTTGGGTTTTGGGCAGATATTGGTTTAGTTAAACATTGTTATTTCTAAAATAGAAACGAATTCATTTTGAAAGACCTGTGTTTCTTGAGACAAAAGTAGTTCATGTGTGATTATTCAGTTAATTGATAGATTACTCAATTAGTTTTGGTGCTTTGCGGTCAAGGCAGAGGTCCTGTCAACTGGAATGGCCCAATCCCCAGTTGACAAATCTGGCTATAGTAACAGGGAGAGTCACCCCTCTGATGGGGAAGGAGCCTATACTGGTGTGTGATGCTGAGAGATCCTGGCTGGATGTAGTCAGGCTCACCATCACACAGCTGTGTTGATCTGCTGTGGTGAAGATTGAGCTGAGCATGAAGGCAAAGCTTCATCCGGTCTATGTTACTCACAGCCTTGAGCTCTGGACAGTGACTAAAAAAATTAGCTTGCTGATAGAAAAGAACACAGCTTCCTCTGAAGGGTGGCTGGGCTCTCCCTCAAGCAGGAGGCAGGTGCGTGGTTGTTCCCAAAGGACTAACAGCAGAGCTGCAAATTCTCCACATTTAAAGGAAGCAGCTGAGGTGGTTCAGCCTCCTGACTGGAAAAACTCCTCAGACGGAGGCCCTGGGACAGATGTAAGACACAGTGGAGAGATATATCTCTCAGATGGCTTGGGAATGCCTCGTTCCTCCACAGGTGAGCTTGAGGAGGTGGAGAGAGATCTCAGGGCATGTGTGCTCAGAGTGCTGCCCCAGCAATCCGGAGTCAGACATTATTCTCAGTGCGAAGGTTTCTGAATTTTAGAACACTTTAACTTTAAGTCTTGGAGCTAGCTAGAAATGCTAGTGAGCAAATTCCTTAACATGCTAACTTCCTGCTAACTCCCTAACCTGCTGAGCTTCATGCTGGAAAATGACATGCACAAAATAAATGGAGTATTTCTCTGCAATTACAAACTCTGTGTGAACTATGTTGGTATCAAAATAAAGCTAACACAAAGATTTAATCAGAGGTGAAAATATTGCTCTAGATGTTACTGTTTCAAAGTTATTAGGACAAAGTACTAATAGAAAAAGTAGTAATTTATTTAATCATTATATATTTTTTAGCAGATAAGCCTCAATTCACATTTTAATCCAGAAAATCATTAATCAACATATAAACATCGTCGGTGGAAAGATTTGTTCTTTTCTTCAAACTTTTTTTTAGTTTTTAATCTTGTAATTGAAACCAAATATAGAGAGGGCCTAGCCTAACAAATGAAAAAGGAAAAGACCGAAACCCATTTATTTCAACAAAGTAACTGTATTCTAAATACCACCTTTTTAAACGGTAACTGTAACGGAATACAGTTACTCATATGTTGTATTTTAAATACAGTGGTACATGTATTCTGTTACTCCCCAACACTGTCAGTACACTGTGTTTTATACGGTTGTCCAGTCTTGTCCCTCCTTCCTCCGCCTCCCACTCTTACCCCACTATTATTACTTCTAACACTTTTCCACTTCTGTTGTTTTCTGACAGTTTCTCTTCTCACCGCGGTCTAACTTCCTGATGAGTCACTTAAACACTGATATTGAAAATATAGAAAACTCATTACTCATATTTCTTTGTTTAAAATTCTGATTTGTTTTTAAAGCATTTATCATTTCCTCTGTTCTTACTTGTCTGTAATCTTTATTTCTGTCCAAATTATTAGGGTTGCAATTGGCATCACAGACTGTAGAAACTGGAAGATGGTCACTGATGTCACTAATGAGAAGTCCACTTCCTGTTTTATATTCAATGTCATTTATAAAAACGTGTGTGTGAGAGCTGCAGGATGTGATGTGGTTCTGCTAATCTTAGAGAACAGGTTCACACAGTATGTTGTTTTACTACCTGGAGATTATTACTTAGGTTTAAACTGTTATACATTTAACACATCATCAATCACTGTCAGTTTCAGATATTTGTCCACATACTGTTCATAACCCTCCAGTTCAAAGTCTGCTTCTTTATCCATATTAATCAAAGTGTCAGATAAGGCAATGACACCGAGTGGATATGAAAACTGGTTTAGATATTCCTTGATATGGTTAAAATCTATAGACCTCTACAGTTAAAGTGGAAAACTGACCATTTATTCTCAATTTGAATCCCCTGTTTGTTCATTTCTATAATAGCAGCAGTCATTATTGATATTAGAGAAGAAGCTGTTTTCTGGGTGTATTTGATATTCCTGTGTGTGATCCGTATAGTTTAATGTTTTCAATTCTGTCTGATGGATGCAGCTGTTTCTTCCAGATGTAGCTGAGTTGTTCCTTTCAGTGTGTTTCATAAGTGATTTGTGTGGTTGTTTGTTAACTTGTTTAGAGTCTAGATCATGCTGCTGACTGATATTTTTGGGGATCCACCATGTTTTTGATGACCAGCACCTTAGCTTCCTCAGATGATCTGTTTAGTTTAATGAATATTTTACAGGTTGTGATCCAGGTACTTTGAATTTTTCCCAGTTTCTTATGGTACAGTACTTTTTTGTGGCTATTTCAGTGTTGTATTTAAGTATTTGGGTCTTTAGATATGAGATTTGTTTTAACTTTTAAGAACAAACTTAAATATCCAAATTACAAACATTTATTAGAATTAAATATAAAGTTTCTCATTATTCAATTCAATTAAATTTTTTTAATTCAATTTTCCTTTTAATTTTTCTTTCTATTTTTTAACTTTTAGAAAAGAAAAAAAACTAAGAAACAAAGTTATGTCTTTGAAAAATGACAAGTGTCCTGGTGTGTGCTGTGCAGGCAGGAGAAGAGGACCCACACGGTGGACTCATTGAGGCAAAACATGAACTTGAAAGCAGCTTTATTGCTGACCAAGGAAAACCAAACAGAAAACCTAAACTGGAGCTAGAACCGAAATACACAAGAAAACATCAGGAGAGACACAGCAGGAGGGAGAAATGATGCCAACAACAGGACAACAAGTACTGACTGACAGGGACTAAAATACACTGGCAGGTACAGGAACAGGTGGACAGACAGCTGGAAGTCATTAGGCTAGACAAGACAAGGAAGTAAAGCAGAATACACTAACATGAGACAAGACCTTCAAAGTAAAACAGGAAATCCACAGACTGAACTCAGAGACAATACTAACACAGTACAGGGACCAGAGTGACATAAGGAGCAAAGGAATCCACAGGCTCGGAAATACAAAACAGACACCAAAAAACTAGCAACCTTGAACAATAGAAGAAAACAGCCTAAAAACAATAATACAAAATCTAAACACTGGGCCACAGGTCCAGTAACAACAAGTGAGTCAAACAGCTGCACATCCTCGCTGCAGGTGTGAAGAAGGAAACCTCAAATGCAAAACAATGTAAATGTATAAAAATGTTTTGACAAACTTTAAAATCCTACTGTCAGTTTTGTAAAGCTTAAAGTTTAATTTCTAAATTTAAGTTTCAAATGACAGCAGAATATTAATCCCATAGAGCAGCAAACAGCCCTGTAGACGTGTTGTTTCTCCTCTAAATTTAATTCTGTCATTTGTTGTAAAAAGAAAAAATAAATAAATAAATATTTTGAAGGCTCAACAGGAAATGATCAGCTTATCTTAAGAGGACCAAACCTTTAGTGCAGCAGCAGCTGCGTGTTGTTGTTATCAGGACTTTAACTGGTGATGAAGATGTTGCTGCCACTCCTGCTCCTCGTACTCGGTAAGAGCGCTCTTTGAATGCAAACACAACGACACAGCTGTTTGTGCTTTTAGACAACATAAAGTCTAACATGATTTCACTGGATGTAAACTGACTCTACTTGACTTTATTCCTTATAACCCCCTCTGGGACTTCATGCAGGGCGCTCACAGGGTTACAGCTGAGTTCATATCTGTTTAAGACGAACTATCTGTGTGTTCCAGACGTCTCTGTTTCTTACTGATAGAACCACAAACCTGCCAGAGAGTAGTGACGTTTGACAAGATTAACGACTGTGGCAAAAAAAAAAGAAGAAGAAAAGAAACTGTCCAATGATACAGATGAAAATTGGTTGTGTTGCCAGTTGTGTGTAACATTGTCAGTGGTGACACTTTTATGTGTTGTAACACTGGGATGTCTGTTTATGAATAAACTGTTTGTTTTCTGTGTGGTTGTGTTTCTGCCTCATTTGATGTTGTTGCATGGTGAGGTTATTTGTTACAAATTGATGGACTGCGGTGTCGTTGTTAGCCCTGCTGTCTCATTACAGGAAGGCGTCTGAGCTCAGATCTGCTTGTATCTGTGTTCATTTTCAATAAGAAATGAACACAGATACAAGAAAATAAGAGATGGTTTCCTCCTTTCACCTCAGTCTTGTTCAGTCATCCATCAGTTTTCTTTAACATCTTTGATGTCCTTTCAGTCAGTGTTTGTTGGCGAGGAAGAATCCGTGTTTGAATACTTTTTATAAAACATGGCTGAGAGTGATGTTACATATTCTGCAACTTTCTGAAACCACTTTATATGAACCCAAGGAGAAAATCCACTGCATACACATAATAAGTGTTTTTGTTGTGTGTGCTTGTGTCTCCTTCCAGTTTCCCAGCATGCCCTGGCTCCGGTGGTGGAGGTGTATGAGGGGGAAATATCTGTCCTGTTGCCTTGCAAGTACTCAGGTATTATACCTGAGGAAAACCCCACAGTGCTGTGGACTCGCAATGATCTCAACCCCAAATCTGTCCACCTACGACGAGAGGAAACGGATGATCTGAAAGGGCAAAACCAGCGTTACAGAGGGCGCACATCAATGAGGCCTGATGCTCTGGACACTTCAGACTTCAGCCTCACTCTGAGAAACCCCCAAATGACTGATAGTGGCAACTACACCTGCTCCATCGGAAATGAAAGACAGGAACGGAAACTGAAAGACATACAGCTGCATGTCAAAGGTAAAAACCCAACACCTGTGATTATGAAGGTCAGAGGTCAAACTAAAGAGTAACAGAAAAGATTTTTCTAGTACTGAAATCTGATAAAATAGTGGTAAAGTTTTCTAGATGCAACCACACTGGAAAAATAAAAACATGAACACCAAAGAAGAAGAAAATAGAATCTTATTGGTACAATTTTTGGTGTATCTACTAAATCTGGATAACTTGATCCAGAAATTCTTACATGTGCAGGAAAACCAGCACCTGAAAGGCCTAATACGGACAGACAATAACACAACATGACTGTTACTTAAGTGTGATTACTAACAGTAGTACTGCGAAGACCTGGCACAGTTTTGGCTCACAATCTGTCCTGATAGTTTATCATGCAGAATAGAGATTTTAATGACTTTATTATTGATATCTATTTTAACTGACAGCAGAGTCAGAGGTCAGTAACACAGATGCTCAGATCTCAGATCAGGTCGATTCTATGATTAAAATCAGTGTGACTGAATCTGCTTCTTTAGTTACAGAAAATACTCTCAGCCCTTCCTTTTCCCCCACATTTTGTTATGTAACAGCCTTATTCCAAAATGGATGGAATCAGTTTTTCACCTCCAAATTCTACCTGCACAAAATCCCCATAATGAATACGGAAAAACATTTGCTTAAAATTTGTCCAGGTGTATTTAAAAAAGCTAAAATTAACAGATGGACAGAAGTACTTACAGCCTTTTCTGGGACACTAAAATTGAATCTCAGTTGAATCTTGTTCCCTCTGATAATCTGCCAGATGTTTGTTGATTGGAGTCCACCTGTGGTCGATGCAGTTGATTGGACATGATTTGGACAGGCACACACCTGTCTGTATAAGGTCCCATGGTGGACAGTACATGTCAGAACACAAATCGAGCTTTGAAGTCCAAGGAATTGTCTGCAGACCTCTGAGACAGTATGTATTGAATCGAGTTTGCCAAAAAGCCCCTGAATGACTCTCAGATCATGAAAAAGAAAAATCTCTGGTCTGATGAAACCAATATTGAACTCTTTGGCCTGAATGCCAAGTGTCATGTCTGGAAAAAACAGGCACCACTGGTGGTGGCAGCATCATGCTGTGGGACATTTTACAGAGGAAGAACTAAA